CAAAGGTGGTAGTAATGTTGTCAATGCATTGCAGATTTTCCATATTTTGTTCACAGAATTGGAAATAGTTATGGGAATGATACCTTGTAATATTCTGATTTTTTTTACTCTTTCCATGTGTCTCTCTACATGGATTCTCAAATTTGCAATTCGTCTAGTTTTCTGAATTTCTTCCAATGTCAATTGCTTTCTTTTACGTTTTAATGGAGGGATGATTAAGTGTAATCCTTTAGGGGTAGTTAAGTCAGATATTAGAAATCCTTTATCAGCCATTACTGCATCTCCAAACTCACACAGTGTTTAATATACCTGATTCTGTAGTAATCTGTCTGTCACTTATAGCTCCAGACCATAAATCTGACACAAAACTGACTACACCATTAGGAGTAATGCCAATTAAACCTTTTAATGTAATATGGCTTTTATAGTGACTATACACTATATTCGACAAGAACACATTGTTTCAAATCAATGCTAAAGACACTGACACTTCCATTTCATCAGCTTCGCAAACTGAAACTGCACCAGACACAGCAACTACTTCTGAACCAGTCACTGACCCTGACTGTCTTCCTGAACTGAAAATGAACAGAAAAATGAGTTCAAAAGAAAGAAAACAGCGGAAACAGGAGGCACGGTCCCTTAAACATATTGAGGCATCTTCCCCCATACTGACCCCTGTGCAGTTAAGGAGTTTTTCTTAAATAATGATTTATGCATTTTCAATGATGGATCTACCACTTATTTACACCCTGCAACTGGTACTTATTCCTGTCTGGACCTATCAGTTGTAACTTCTAATTTACTAAGCGAATTTGAGTGGTCTGTCCATGACGACCTTTCAGGTAGTGATCATTTTCCTACCGTTTTCAAATCTGTTACACCATCTGATGTTCCTCCGTCAACAAGATGGAATTTCACTAAAGCTGACTGGGCTCACTATAAAACTCTTTGTTCTAAACATCTAACACCTGATGTTTTTGTTGATGCTCCTGACTCTATACAACGCTTCTCCGATGAGCTGCACAAAATTGCTGATGAATGCATTCCGAAGTCCTCTCCAAATCCTCACATACGTAAGCCATGGTTTACTGTTGATTGCAAACAGGCTAGGAAGGCACGGAAGAAGGCTGAACAACATTTCCGTCGCCATCCAATGGTCCATAACTTCAATAACTATAAAGTATTAAATGCTAAAGCCCGGCGTACCTTTAAACAAAATAAACGCCAGTCTTGGCAAAGGTATGTTTCAAAGATAAATTCCCGTACGCCGATGTCAAAGGTGTGGAACATGATCCACAAAATTAAAGGTAAGGGTACCAAATCAAGCATACATCATCTCAAAACTGGAGATCAATTGTTAACAGATACATCTGATATCGCAAACAAACTGGGTGAAACACTTCAAAAACATTCTTCCTCGTCTAACTATGTTCCTAAATTTCAAAAATACCAACAACAGCGGAAAAAGAACAAAATCAATTTTCATTCGGATAATGGGGAAGATTATAATGAAATCTTTTCTATTCATGAGCTTCATACTGCTCTTGAACAAGCGCACGATACTGCAACAGGAGCTGATAACATTCAATATCAGCTCCTGAAACACTTACCGGAATCCTGTTTAGAGACACTACTGAATATGTTTGATGACATTTGGACATCTCGCAAATTTCCTTCCTCCTGGCGTGATGCCATTTTTGTACCAATACCTAAACCTGGACGTGATCATACGGATCCCTCTAATTATAGGCCCATTTCTTTGACTAGCTGCGTTTGCAAAACTATGGAACGCATGGTCAATAACAGATTAACGTGGTACTTAGAATCAAATAAATTAATCACAAATATTCAATGTGGTTTTCGTAAAAATCGCAGTACCATTGACCATTTAGTTCGATTGGAGACATTCGTAAAGAATGCCATTATTAACAGGCAACATGCAGTGTCAATATTTTTCGATTTAGAGAAAGCTTATGACACAACATGGAAGCACGGCATTTTAACAGATTTACATGATTTTGGTTTACGAGGCCGTTTGCCTCAGTTTATGTCCGAGTTTTTAACTGACAGGCAATTTCAAGTCCGCGTGGGTTCTACCCTGTCTGACCACTATGAGCAGGATCAGGGTGTCCCACAAGGTAGTATTTTGTCTGTCACATTGTTTAGTGTTAAGATCAACAGTTTATCAAAGGTCTTAAGTGATTCAATCGATGGGTCACTTTTTGTGGATGATTTTAATATTTCTTGTCGTGGTAAAAGTATGCATACTATTGAACGGCAACTGCAGTTGTGTTTAAACAAAATAGATAAATGGTGTCTTGAAAACGGCTTTAAATTTTCTAAATCCAAAACTAATTGTATCCATTTTCGTAGAAAATATAAACCACATAAAAACCCTGAACTGTCTCTAAATGGCTCTCCCATTAAAGTCGTTAAGGAAGCCAAGTTCTTGGGTTTAATTTTTGACTCGCATCTAACTTTTCTTCCCCATAGCAAGTCCCTAAAAACTAAATGCTTGAAGGCACTTGATTTGTTGAAAGTCGTTTCCAATTCTAAGTGGGGAGGGGATCAAGCTACCCTCCTACAATTATATCGATCATTGGTACGTTCCAAACTTGATTATGGCTCCATCGTTTATGGTGGAGCCTGCAAAAGTAATCTAAAACTTTTAGATTCTGTCCACCACCAAGGTCTACTACTATGTCTTGGTTCCTTTAGAACTTCACCTGTTGACAGCCTCTACATCGAAGCTGATGAGCCATCTCTTACACAACGCCGTATCAAATTAACTTTACAGTATATTACAAAACTTTATTCAAATGAGTCAAACCCTGCATATAACTGTGTCTTTAATCCCCTATATGCAGAACTGTATAACAAGAAGCCTTCTCTTGTTCCGCCTCATGGTATAAGAGTGAAACCTTTCCTTTCTGCTGCCGGCATTGAGCTGGAAAATATAGCTCCTTCATGTCTTTTTTCTTCTCCTCCTTGGTAACTGGTTAGGCCCGAAGTTGACCTAGCTCTGACAAAGTTTAAGAAATCTGAAACTAATGAATTACAGTATAAACAAGAATATAATCAACTAAAAACTAAATATAATACACACAAATCCTTATTTACAGATGGGTCCAAGGACGGTGGCGCAGTGGCATGTGCCACTGTCATTGGATCCAGAACAATATCTTCTAGAATACCTGATAACAGCTCTATATTTACAGCAGAAGCAAACGCCATCTTAACAGCTCTTACATATATTCAAAGACATCCCAAACATAAACAATATATACTATTTTCTGACTCTCTTTCTTGCCTTCAGGCTATTAAAAATATCTCTTGCAAACATCCACTTTTAATTGAAATAATCGAATTATATAATGAGCTTGCTACTGGCCAATGCGACATCGTCTTTTGTTGGTTACCCAGCCACGTTGGCATTTCTGGGAACACGATGGCTGATATTGCTGCTAAGGCAGCACTCAACAAATCTGTGACACCACCTTTTATCCCATACTCTGATTTTAAAGCTGTCATCAGATCTTATATCCGCGATCTAATGCAAAGGAAGTGGGACTCCCAAGCAGGTATCAATAAATTACATGAAATATAACCCTACATTGGTTACACCTACTTGGGTTGTCAGTCCAGATTAGAAGAGGTCATCATACGACGATGTCTTATTGGCCACACAAGATATACACATGCATATTTGCTTAAAGGTGAGGATCCTCCGTTTTGTATCCCTTGTGATGAAAGAATCACGGTTAAGTATGTCTTGCTTGACTGCATTGAATATTCCATCACAAGGGATAACTATTTCAAATCACGAACTATGAAGGATCTTTTTAATATTGTCAGTTCTCATTTAATTATTGCATTTTTAAAAGATGTGTTACTTGATTTGTAAATAGACAACTATTTTATTATTGGTAGTTTAGATTAGTAACAGAGATTGTTAGTGGCTGTACCCTTAAAGGGGGTTAAAGTCCTGTAAAATTACTGTCCTCCTGAGAGGCTACGTAAGTCCCAAAATTTTCAAAGTCAATTTAAACTTACCAGGATTTTTAAACGTAGTATTGTTGTTATTTTAATTTTGGCTTATATTTCTTACAATCGCCAGCACCTGAAGGGATGGTGCAAATCCAACTAGGGTCCATGCAGGTAGCAAAGGTACTGTAAGTCCCCTTGGTCCCTGGTATGGTGATCTACCTTCAGTTGTTGGCGATCTATAGCCTGTTTTTATATTGTATTGTCCAAATAGTGCTATTAGTTTTAACTTTCCACACTAGTTTTAGTTGTAATTGTGATATTCTAGTTGTTTTACTGTCCTTCGTCGACAGGTTTTTATAACGTACATATATTCTATTTCAATGTCATATGTTCTTATTTCACTTTTTATTGTATAAATTGTTTTCGTCATGATATGGCTGAGATATTGCCAACGTGACGTTAAATATTAACTCAATCACCCATTCTACACTTGGGCACCGGTAATCGAAAAGGGCGACAATATGACGCATTGTCGCGTGTCGCATTTCAGTCAGTATGTTATAACACATACTATTCTCAATATTTTAACAAAGCGCGACACGGGACAATGTCACAACGCGACATTTCATCAAAATGTCACGTTGTCGCCTTTGTCGTGTTGTCGTATTGTCACGTTTTAGTCATTTTTTAGTTTTTTTACACATCTTAGATAGACATATTTTCACCTTGAAAATTGTCGCTATGTCGCATTGTCGCCCTTTGGAGGAATAGAAAAAAAATCATATTTAACACGACAGTCGACATCGTGGCAATGCGGCAAATATTACAAACTACTTAAAAGTTGAAACTTTTCACGTCAGCGTGCATTACATTTTCCGAAGATGTGTAAATTGTCCTGTGCATTTGTAAATTGCCCTGTGCATTTTGTAATGACAATCTTCTCTCTCTCGCTGTAAAGAAGTGTTTGTGTCAATGCTGTTTCATAATGACAAATCATCATATATTTTCAGTGTTTGGCCAGACACTCCGACTGGTGTCCCCACTGGGCAACGGAATTGGGAGACTTGAGGTGTACTATAACCGAACGTGGGGCACTGTGTGTGACGATTCCTTTGGTGCCTATGAAGCTAAAGTAGCCTGCAGACAGCTAGGACTATAGTAAGACACATGTTTAAAATATACAGTTATCGTTATTCTCGGGATATCGCCAACCACAATATGTAGTCAAGGCAAAACACACTTATGGGAAATTATTGTCGAGTATTAAAGTAGCTTGTTTGCAGAAAAAAATAATGGCGGAATAAAACATATTAACTCATGTTAGCTAAACAGAACGAGACAATAATTTGATCGTATTTGTAGGATACACTAGGATATACTAGGTTACCGTGTTAAACATAATGGTACCACAGTAGGACACCTTTTAATGACTGTAAGTATATGATGAGCCAATACTTAAGACACAATAAAACAAGACTAACATGTATGGGATGCGTTGGTGAGGTAATTGCGATAATAGTTGGGCATCATGTAAAAGTAGTGTCTTTTGTGAGTATTGACGCAAGTTAGGTAACTGACATAGCCCGCGATTCATCATTTGCAGAGAATTCCAATGACCTTGTACTGCTACGTTTGATTTAAACAGATAATATTTCCGTTTAGCAAAAGCGGACTTACACCAAGAGCGATTGGAAATTTCGGTTTTGGAGGAGGGAGGATATGGTTGGATGGCTTGGATTGCTCGGGTTCCGAATCATCTTTGGCCAGCTGTTCACACAATACATGGGGCGTCCACGATTGTCAACACAGTGAAGATGTTGGCGTCATATGTGATCCAAGTAAGTTGTCACACTGACAAATGTTTACTTGGATATCACAGGCATTGTTCATAGCTTTTATCATGCATGGTCACTGTTTAAGCATGCTCATAAAGAAGAAGAAAATTATCGAGACCGTACCCCGCAAGAGAAAACAGTTCTCAGCTACTGTCGGAGCAGGGTTCGCTCTGCAGAAAGTAAAGGTATGAAAAGGTCTATGATTCCAATTCGAATCCTAGATTCGCCCTGATGAATTAAAGGCCACCTAACCTCACAGTCTGGTCAGCTGGATGTGTCAATCAAGTTATCAACAGCACGAGCATCGATCTGCGCAGTGGGGGGGGGAACCGATGACATGTGTCAACCAAATCAGCGAGTCTGACCACCTGATACGACAAGCATGAGTTACTGACGCACAAACTTCAGATACATGTATCTTTCTTTGGACTTCAACACAGTTGCGACATTTTAATCACCCTTTGTATTTGTAGGGTAGATCATGTGACCCAGACAAAATGTAGTGAACATGTTGTTTGTATCGCCGGCGTGATCATCTCCAGGGCATGAGTGGTTAGCAGTAGTGACGCAATGCCGCTTGAAATACAATTTTGTAATCAGAAGAACTATCTGCTGAAAACAGAGAACGATGCCGTCAATATCAGGGGTATGTGTTTATGAACGAATCAATGGCGTTGGGATGGTCACTTATACAGTTTCCGGAGTCAAACCAACAGGTAAAAACTACACATGTGTCCAAATAATGTCTTTATGATGTCTTCCTCAGAGGTTACAAAGGCAAGACTTGTCTCCACCACCAACACACCAGGAGAGGAGTGCTGGAGCTGTACTATGGTGGACAGTGGGGACGAGTCTACTACTTTGGGTTCGGAGTTGAAGATGCAACAGTAGCCTGCAGAATGTTGGGACACAACACGTGAGAAATATAATGAGATTGCATTGTATCCAAGAATTGTTTGATATTTCTTCTGTTAAAATTTAGTCTACACATGTACTGTTATTATACTGTATTTGAAATAATTAAGCGTATCATACGTAAGTATTTTTTCACAAATATCAAGATACAGACATTGACACACATTTGATAATGTTTTCAATGACCCCAACAAATGTTTTGAAACAATTTTACACGCTCTACTTGGTATCTAGCATTGGGGCCAACGCCAGCTCATCTCCAAACACCGGCAGTGACTCACGGCGTGTTCTCCCTGAAATAACCCGTTGTCGTGGAACTGAATTCTCCCTCAATGAATGTGCTCACACCCCTGCATCGATTACCACTTCGTCAAGTGTAGTCCGAATAGTGTGTCCGCCTGGTAAGTTAATTTTTGTTGTTGTACAAACCGTGATGAAGACGTGCAATCACGTGCGTCTCTCTACCTCCTCTTGCATTGTTTGTTCCAGATAATCTTGAAATACGCTTGAATTCGACAAGTCAAGGGCGGGGCCGCGTAGAAGTAGTTCACAACAATGTCTGGGGAACAGTCTGTAGAGGGTCGTCGTTTTCCTCAAAGGAAGCACAGGTTGTTTGCAAAATGGCAAATCTTCCTTGGTAACTGAATTTTCTCATCATTAAACCTTCGTTAAGAGCACTAGTCTTATTAATATTCTAAATTTACTTTGAATGTTTTAAAGTGTCAAAACATGTCCTGCGTGACATTAGTTTAAGGACCTATACCAAGACGGTAAATGTATACTAAAGTACATGACATTGTATCTATTTTGTTCAACATATTTTTTCCACTGGAAACGGAATGCCAAAGACTGGTCATGTGTCTCTGTACAGCACAATGGTGTCGTGTAGTCATATTTGAAATATTCAAGAGCATCAAACACAAATATTATATTTGGTGGTGAAACATGAAAGGTTGAACATGTCCCCATATGCTGTTTGTAAAACCTACGTAAGTATGATGTATGGGCAGTCAATATTCTTCTTCTAATAAAAGCTTCAAAACGATCTCCGTAATCTTCCCATTGGTTGGTATATTATATTGTTTCAAGTCCGTTCTGGCTAGGTCATAAGGAAGTTCTAGTGTATCAGTACCAGATAGTGATAATACCACATAGTGGGGATACCAGGTGTTCGTAGCACCATTCACAAAACAGTTCAAAGGCAATTCAATGGTTGAACCTGAAACCGTCCGTGGATACATGGATGTCGCAACATTTCTATGGGTCAGTTTAATCTCTTTTGAGTCAAATTTCGGAAAGCGCATTTAACGTTGAAACTCATAGCCCTCAACAACGAACGTTTGAGCAAGCTTCAACTGTACGATACAGTCATCAGAAATTTGAGATTTTATTTGTGGGATCAAGGTTCAACATGTGTTTTTCTATTGTCAACATTCACCTTATTATCTAAATAAGCAGATTTGGAAATGAAAGTGGCGACCAATTAATAAAGGTGTTTGCTATCATCTTTAGCAATCTTTAGGGTTTTCTGTTTTAGGACCACAGCCTCTGTCACAACGTCTTATGGTCCCGGAGAAGGTCTTATTGGGATGAGTAACGTCGACTGTTTGGGGTCAGAGACCTCCCTAGACGAGTGTCTCCACTCAGGATGGGGAACAGCACCAGGCTGTTCTCACAGTAGTGATGTCGGAGTTGTATGTGGTGGAAGTTAGTATGACACAGATGTGATGTCAGTTTAAATGTCGTGGAGGTGGGTACGCTGCATTAGTAGCGCAATTATTGGTTGGAGTAGGGATGGGGTGGTGGTACGAATTTAAAATGTCCTGCCTGTAGAAATGTATAGCGAATCTGTATCTGAATTCCTGTTTTATCAGATAATTTGCGGATTGTTTACTATGGCATATGTTTCAGATACTGTAAGTATCCACCTGGAACCGCCAGGTAGTGTCCTCAGCGTCCTTCTCGGTCAAGTGATCAGCGTCAAGTGTGTGGTCGATTACTCTAACACTACAGTCACGGTGTTCAGGTGGACACACAGCGGACGTTCCGACAGTGGACAAACATTCAGTAAAACAATAACATCCAAGTCTGACTCGGGCACGCTGACATGCAGTGTCCAGAATGTGATGGCCTCCACTCGAATCAACGTACTGTGTAAGCGTTCCATGGAATAAAGTCATTGGAGTAATACTATACTATGATCATAAGGAAGAATAGATAAGTGGAGACAAGTAATAGGTGTTACTTCTCAGATATGCATTCAAGTATGTTTTAAGTTTGGTTCAAGGCTACTTTGAACAGATTGTGTGCTTCATGTGAAATGAAAGCCCATAGAGGTAGGTCAACGAGCCTGGGTATGATGCTGAGAAATCCGTTAACAGACTTATTGTTCACATTGAAGTCAAACCACGATCATAGGTGTCTGGGAGGTCTTGTAGGCTTACAGCCCAGAGATCCAGTTTGGCCACCTGTTTGATCACCAAGAAGTGCCATATGCTCATTTTTACTTCATTTAATGCTGTCAATCTAGATTTACATTCTGTTTTATATTTAGTAAATAAGAACCATGTAAAACAATACATTTGCCAGCGTATACCCAGGGAACTCGCGAAATGCTTGCTATAATTCAAAATGGAGTTATGTGGAATTGTTTTGGTGACACTGAAGTTTATCATTTCTAACTTTCACTCAGTCAAAGCCAGACGGGTTTCTTCGCTCAACATTATTATAGTTTGTTCAATATATCCTGTCTTTGAATGACACTTAGAAGTCACACCTATGAGGAATTGAAGCTTATGGATGTCATCATACTATGTTGAACACAACGTTTACGAGTATATTCATATTCCTCCATGAGATGAATGATTAATGATAAATGACTCACCTTACGAAGGAGTACGCATATTCTCTGAAACATTGTGTTTCTCGTAATAGAGAACTTGACATCAATAAAATTCTCTCCCTTCTAAATACATTGTAACATGTCATTTCGTTTTACAAATTCTGCTTGATGTGATATTGCATCATGCATTATGTACAAAGTCAACATTTGATCCTACTTGTCCCCAGACCCTCCGGAAGTACATCTGGAACCGAGAGATGACAGCATTGATGTTGGTGTCGGTGAAGACCTCCGTGTGCAGTGTGTCGTGGATGATGCCAACCCTAGTGTCAACACATTCAGGTGGTCACACAACGGACGAACAAGTGCTGGGTTGACCTTCCTCAAACGTAACGTAACCAAGTCTGACCAAGGACAACTGACCTGTACTGCTGACAACGGACACTGGATGACACCAGGACGGGCAGATGCAACTGTTAATGTCAGATGTAAGGACAACTGTTAACTTTATATAATTGCTTCCTTGATTCGTATTGGGGAATTAGTTTTGCGAGGACACACTGAGAAAAATCAAAATTATCGTTCAAGTATATAATTGCACATGTATTGCAAAGCTGTCCTTAACGCCCTGACGTCACATCAGTGCTAAATACTGAAGGTAACGTTATGTTAGCCCTTGTTTGTTACATCAGTTTGTTCACATGTTACATTGACTGGCTTGGTTCCAGTGAAGGTAAATGGTGAACTCACAATGTTCCCTTTTACTGAAAGCACCGTGAAGGTCCGGGTTAGAATGTGTCTTCAGTAACCCATGCTTGTCGTAAGAGGCGACTAACGTGGTCGGGTGGTCAGGCTCGCTGACTTGGTTGACATATGTCATCGGTTCCCAATTGCGCAGATCGATGTTCATGCTGTTGATCACTGGATTGTCTGGTCCAGACTCGATTATTTACAGACCACCGCCATGTAGCTGGAATAGTGTTAAGTGCGGCGTAAAACTCAACTCACTCACTCACTTTTACTGAAAGATTATGGGATTCACAATAACTTACTTTCTTTACACAATCAGTGACCATCAAATGCAGTTGATTTTCAAATTACAGTATAATGCACTTGGCACAAATAGTAAGTTTAGTCTCCAAAATAATTAACTATTCTCAGCAAAACTCTCCATAAGGCTGTATGATACAAGAGCGTCATACGACGCTTGCTTAGAAGTTGTTCAATCAAGGTTACCACATTCAAAGTCTCACTAAAGTGAGTGAGTTAATATTTAACGTCACATCGGCAATATCTCAGCCATATCGTGACGAAACCAATTTATACAATTAAGAATGAAAACATTTTGGAGAGTAAAACCTGTCGACGATAGACAGTAAAAATACTATAATATCACATATATGAACATAAAACTAGCATGTCAAACTAAAAGATTTTAATTAAAGAAGACAAAATACAATATAAAACACGGGCTATAGATCGTCACCAACTGAAGGTAGATCACCATACTAGGAACCATGGGGACTTACATTACTTTTGCTACCTGCATGGACCCTAGCTGGATTTACACCATCCCTTCAGCCGCTGGCGATGTAGGAAGACTTACCCGAAAGTTAAAATAACAGAAATACTACGATTAAATTGTATGGCTGTGCGGAATAGTCTCACTAAAGCTGCCAATTGTTTTTATGGTAGACAGGTGGGGGGATGTGCTTTTCTCGAATGCTTGGTAGCATCACTGTTTCGATAGTGATTCGTAAACACATGCTCATAATATATGGAATTGTGCAGTTGTACAGTCGACCCTGCATTTGCAAGACATTTCTAATGGATGTGGTTTTCACACTTATATTTATATATCATCCGATGGATTCTTTTTACAGGGAATAAATGTCTTATGATATTGTGCATTGTATACTGTGAATGTTTGATGCTGTCGTTCTTTTTCAAACCTTGTGTCTGACATAAGATCCACCGGATATCCACCTGTCAACAAGGCAAGATGTTATCAGTGTCATGGCTGGGCATGTCGTTGAAGTTGAATGTGTCGTTGAAGATGCAAACCCTGCCGTCACCTCCTACATATGGCGTCACAACGGCGATATCAGTTACGGGCAGACGTTTCTTAAACACGTGTCATCTTCTGATTCGGGGAACCTATCGTGCTCTGCTACCAATAGACAAGGGACATCAACTGTACAAACAGGCATCGAAGTCTGTGAGTAGCCCCAATATCGCTGACATGTGTTCTGCCTAGACGTTGGCAAAACGGACTTTGTGGTTAATGTTTTACATGATGATTGGACAGCTTATCATCTATGTTAAAACAGAGTACAGTTCCTTAGAAGAAATATGAAATATATATTCGCAAAGAATATATACGTAAGAAATACAGTTCGCTCTACCATCGTGCATAGTGCAATAAAGCACACTTTCGCCTTGAATTATTATAGTTAAACGTTAACGTTATACTAGTTCAGGGCGAAAGTGTGCTTTATTACACTATACATGGTGGTAGAGAACTGTATTTCTTTCTAGGATGCCAAATTAAATGCTTCATCTTAGACTAATTACAATTAATCTAAGGCGGAAAACAAACGACTGTGTCGGTGACCTAAATCACGACTCCTCGTCCATGGCTAACTGACGCGTTGTTCTATTGATTTGTCTGCCCCCTACGTTAAGACGAACGTTACTAGAAAAAAACAAATGATGAACAGTTTGATGACTGGTTTACGTTCGGGTTAAATGTCTTCTCTAAATTATTTTAATTATATCTGTGATTAACGTATATCATATGGGCCAATATGAACATCACATTTCTACTACCAACGTAAGTATAGATCAGTACATCCATATGAAGATTACAAGTCATGCGACATTCCACGGATGCATTGTGGGAATGTAAACACACGTGAACACGTTGCCGTGTCGCTGGTAAATTCTGAGTCGAACTGAGACATGTTATCCGTCGTAAAACATAAACGTAATGTTTCCACCAGTGATGTTAGCCGGGTGAAGCAACTGCAAACAAAGAAACGGGATGCAACGGAGTAGTTTACTGAAGGAGGCTATACGAGGCGATGACCACTGACATGCATCGTGACGTCGGTTACATTGTGACGTAATGCCAAAGTGTTCGATTACGAGGGGGCAGACTAGAATGGCGCTGTAACGCCAATACATTATGACGTAATGCAAAGAGTGTACATCATCGTCTGATAATGTACTGTGCGTCTTTGATAGTTCACCGAAGCTTCTTAGAATGTACAATATAAGCATGTGTCAAAAATCATGAATGTCCCTTGACCCGCCAGAGGTACATCTGGAACCAATCAATGGCACTGTGGTTGTCGTGGTCGGTGAAGACTGTGTGTACACTGTGTAGAACACGTCAACCCTTGTAAAACATCTGAGGCAAATCTTCTCATACATCTTCAAATAGAGTGCATTCATTTCTTCATTTTGATAATCTGTTCTTTCTGTTCTGCCACAGTGCAAGCTTACTCTTTGATCGGGGACAATGAGTATCCAGTGTCGGTCATAGCAACAGGATCTGGCCTGGTCATCCTCCTCCTCATCATCATCATCCTCATCATCATCATTATCTACCAGAGGAGGAGAATGAAGACTGCAAAACGTAAGTGTATTTGTGGTATAACTTGATACCGTCAGTTATGAAATATGCACATAGCTGGACACACATATGACTACCTTACATTGCCTTAAATGATTACTTTACATTAATATCAACTATACTATGTATAACATCCGAGTACCTCTTAAATGACAGTAAATTCTATTGTAAAATAGTATTTAGAATAGTATTGCTCTGAATATGACATTGACAACTGCGTTTTTATTCCAGCTATTGAGAATCCACAGAGGTAGGTGTATTTTTACTGGGGGAATTGTTTACCCAATAGTTAGCTTGTGTAACTGGTAAACATACCTAGTTATGGTGATAATATGCTAAAAACGGAACATGACGTGGAGCCAGATAGCCCTTTCTACTGTTTATTCCCCACTAAATTAAAGTTACGGCCCAACATTTGAATATTTTGCATATGTATTTAAAATTAAATTTTAAAAGGCTATTTAAAAAAGTATAAAACTGTATTTGATATAAATCACAAAAGCTTACTTGTCAGTTAGTAGAGACCTTTGTCTATTGTACAGTTATACAACTTTGTGAACTTCTTAAGTGGCAGTTGGTGGGATGAAGAGTATCACCTTGTATGGATTGACCTCTTTTTGATTGCTATGGACACAAGGTGTAGATGTTTAATAACGGTATTAATACCTACATCTCGCATCCATTGCAATAAAGGAATTGTCAATCCATGTAAAGTGCTCATCTTAAAACTCACAAAAGGGCAATGTAGAGTAACGAACCATATATTTGAATTAATATATTCCAATGTTTGATAAACAAGAATGTGATTACATGGTTCCATTAGAGCACAGATTGTAAAATATTCCCATTTGATTTTGCATGTGTACTAGAACTGCACAGACCACCAGGACAGATGTTGGAGGGAGCCAGCAGATTTACGAGACCATGGAACTGCCAAGTGGGGGTATAGCACCATTTTATATAGTGAAACCTGTCTGAACCGGCAGCCCACGGGACCGAAATAAAATGCCGGTTTAGACAGGATGCCGGATTAGACAGTGACGATCGTGTTCGAACATGGCTGCCATTTACACTCGCCAATCTCTTTATTCCTGATTATCTAGCGTGCCGAGATGAGTGTAATGGATTAAGGGACCCAGATTGGACTGCTCATACCCATGCCGGCTTAGAGCGTTTGATTCACCACGCAGTCACTACGTCCTGGTTATCTAGCGTAACAAGAGGATTAATTAGTGTATTGGACTATGGGACCTTCATTGGACTGCTCATACCCATGCTGGTTTAGACAGTGTTAATTACAGTAAAAATTGCTTGTTGGGACCGGAATGTCGTGCCGGAATACGGAATAGACAAATGTCAGATTAGACAATGTTTTAATCATCATAATATCGTTGTAAAATGGCGGGACCAAAATTGTATGCCGGTTTTTGCTGTGTGCCGGATTAGACATGTGTCGGTATTGGCAGGTTTCACTGTATATGTTTCGGAAGATGATCGTTCTGTTAAGCCAAATTAAGTGAAGACTTTTAGACAGAGCAATATGTCAGCTTTGGCAATCAATTTGTCTGGTATTTTGGCCTTTGGCAAATGACTTGTTACATGTTCCAGGTGCTGATAATACATACTGCGCACTTGGAATGACCCAAGTGAGAGGTAATGAACATGGCTTTGTAAATATGCAGATATCTTACGCCGGCGTCTGCAATCGATCAGCTATATAAAGACAGGCACACAACGTTAAAAGAAAAAGAAAGCAATGCATGAAATACTTATATGACATTGCTGATTGTGTTAAACGTGGAATGCAGACCCCAAATAGCAAATGGATGGGCTAACATGTCTTGGATGTTGTTTATGAATTCTACTACCCGTGAAGATCCGGGCTAGAATTGGTTCTCAACAGCCCATGCTTGTCCTCAGAGGCGACTAACGGGATCAGATTGTCAGGCTCTCTGGCTTGGTATTGCCGATGTGACGATAAATATTAACTCACTCACTCACTCTGACTTGCTTGACACATGTCATCGTATCAAATTGCGTAGATCACTGCTCATGCTATTGATCACCGGAATGTCTGGTCCAGACTATTATTTACAGACCGCTACCATAGCGCTGGAATATTGCTGAGTGCGGGGTTAAACAACAATCAAATAAAAAAACAACACCTGATTATTTTAACATAGAATGCAGAACTCAGGTAACAGTAGCTGGACCATCTAAACTTGAAGCCTGCAGTGCCTACGAATTCTACACAGTAGCCTTGAAATGAAGTCATAACCCAAGCAACAAGATAAACGACCCAATAGGCAAACAGGGATATGGAATGTTTAGAAGTAAAACTCGTTCATTATGACAGGACTTGCGCGTCACATTACGGTACAGCAATGTTTAACTACCTCAATTACTCTTCCTTGTCATAACAAATTAAAACCTCTGTTCTGAAGCTTAAATCCTTTCACAATAACGAACTACCACTAAACGAAGTTTAAGGAATTTTAAGATTAAAACCTGCTTTTCAGATACCAATTTGTGTTCCTTCTATCTGTCCTCGTGCCGTTGACAAAGTATACATGAGCTTTTCTGCCAAATCAAGCAGACTGTCCTACAATTCTATGTAATTTATTCTGAAATAACACAATGTTCCAGATGACGATCCCATTTACATCTATGGCAACCTTGGATTTGAAGATGAAGCAAACACACGCCAAGAGACTGGTAAACTGTTGCTGGTTTCAAACACACTAATCAGATATTAAAGTTAATCGGGGTCCTCCTTTCACGGGGCTTTTCTGAGGATTAATCATATTTAAGTGGTAATAGGAGGCCTATATCAATTAGTCAGAATTCCAACACAAGCAGAATGATGGAAATAGGCCGTCGTGACGATAAAGATTCTGCAATTATCATAACTACTTAAAGTTAGTTTGAGTTTGCGTGTCTACACACAAGGGTATCATAGGTTTATCACACGAAAATAACATACGATCAGACCTGTGTTAAGCTACGTGCGACCATCAGCTGAACATCATGGTGTCCGATGTTATGCTGGGGCTCTCGATAGAGAAAAGCAATCAACTCCACACCTTCCAGGAATATGTTTTCTTCTGTGCCACGACGACACACTTTATGACATGCAGCTCATATCCACATGTATTATACTATATTAATAACTATCTTCACTGTGGGGTAAATCTGTAAAGATCCATGCTTGTCGATAGAGGCGACTAACGGGGTCACGTGGTCGTGCTGTCTGTCTTGGTTGACACATGTCATCACATCCCAATTGCTTAGATCGACGCTGGTCCCTTTGATCCCTGGCTTGTCTGGCCAGAACACGATTACAACCATTTAGCTGGAATATTGATTAGTACGTTAAACAACAGCAGCAGCAACAACAAAACAACAAAAACAACAAGAGACTGTTGGGTCACACCTCGAATGACAGCCTTTGCCCCTATCACCCGGAGTGCTCAATCACACTTTGATATTTGGCTAAATCTTGTTTTGCCTGACATTGGAGACGCACACAGTGTCAGCCAACCTAGTGTCTAGAAGATGATACACAAACAAATCATGTATTGGGTAAGCATTTTAATTTGAATCTCAGTGTATGCTGCAATTTTGTATGTTCACAGGAACTGCTTCGGGCCAATCCTACGGTGACATCCAGCTTGAAACGAGCAATAACATACGAAAACAAAGAGGTACTAAGACGTTGATAAAGACACCACATAGTTGTGCGGAGTCGTACAAAATGCACATGGACTATGTAGGGTGCATATTTACTCAACACAGCTATGCTTTACCATCTGATCTGGTTGGGGGCGGCGGGATAGCCTCAAGATTAAAGCATTTGCATAGGCCTGGATTCGATTCCCACATGGGTTAGAATGTGTGAAGTCTATTTTTGGTATCCCCCAATATGATATTGCTGGAATATTGCTCGAAGCGACATAAAACGAAACTAACATCCTCACTCACCCTGGTTTTCATGATATCAGTGATGAAAACTGGTGGCCCAGAGGTCTAAAGAAACGCAACACGCACAGCTGCCTCACTCTGCGGGTTGAGCTTAATTTACTATAATTATGGTTCCTGGTTCATAGTAATTTAGAGTTCAGTAATGTACAACATTAAAACTGCCTGTGCAGCAAGGCTATAGACCGTCAAGTTCCAGATATGTCCAAGATGTCATCCTCCGCATCTCGACATCTTCTGCATCTCGACACCCTTTCAGGGATTGTGTGTTTCACAAATGATGTTCACAGATGTAGTAATACACGATGGTTTGGAATTCACTTCTCACACTCAGCTGTTGCTGAACTGACTTGAATCACTGTTTATGTGCGCACACTCTTTGTCAATAACCTTCTCAGTAGAAGCTGTTCTAGACTCTTTCATGTTACTTATGGTTTAATGTCCTGTTTGTTAGTGGTGCCTAATCCTCCTCAGCACATGGTCCTGCTTATCAGTGGTACATGATACTGTTATGAGTGATACATAGCCATGTTTATCAGTGGTTCATATACCTGTTTGTAAGTAAGTGGTACATATTCCTTTTTATTAGCGGTACATGGTCCTATTTGTCAGTGGTACATGATCATATTTATCGGCGGTACATAGTATATTCTATCAGTGGTACATAGCTATGTGAGTGAGTGATACGTATCCCTGGTAATCAGTGGTTACATGCCTTATACCAACCAATTCCGTTCCGGATTTTTATGATAAACTTATTTGCACTGATAAACATCCAAACATTTGTAATAAATGGCAGCTTTTATTTCCTGAAAGTGATTTTGATTGGAAAAATTGATTTACAGTATAAAGAAAGGGATTACAAGATACAAAGCTTATTGACTTTCAACATAGATTTCTACAACGTATTATTTATACAAAAAGGAATTGGTCAAAATGAAAAAGTTGATAACAGTTAGACACAAACCTTTTGGATAAACCTACAAATTTGGCTCAACAATGTTTATCTCATCCATTGATAGTATCTAAAAACATGATTTGGTTTGGTACTCCACATGAAAATGGAATACTAAATCACATCATCATTGCGTAGAGACATATTCACATATGCAGTATTAAAAATATGCTTCCAAATCTAACTTTATATATAAAAACTCTAAAAAATATTCTTTGTGGAAAATCATTTTTCAACCTGTTTAACAGCGGTATGGTCCTGTTTAACAGTTCTATATATAAGTTATCAGTGTTCCTGTTTAACAGTTCTATATAAGTCCTGTTTATCAGCGGTACATGGTCCTGTTTAACAGTTCTATATAAGTCCTGTTTATCAGTGGTACATGGTCCTGTTTAACAGTTCTATATAAGTCTTGTGCATCAGTGGTACATGGTCCTGTTTAAACAGTTCTATATAAGTCCTGTTTATCAGTGGTACATGGTCCTGTTTAACAGTCCTCTATATAAGTCCTGTTTATCAGTGGTACATGGTCCTGTTTAACAGTTCTATATAAGTCCTGTTTATCAGCGGTACATTGTCCTGTTTAACAGGTTCTATATAAATCCTGTTTATCAGTGGTACATGTATATCCGTGCTGTAAAACAACATGATGTCCTTATCTGTATTTATCCTTTTTTACCCCAGCAAAAGACAAGAAAGTAAAACCAACCAAAGCACAGAAAGACGACGACGGTAAGTTGGCCTCTGACTTGTAGCTATTACTTTAATAGCATCAGAACTGAGAACAAGCCAGTTATAAAATTTGTTGTTTCAGCCGCACACTAAAATATTCGAATGAGATGACGGCGGTCAGATAAATTACATCACCGAGCCTGACCACCAGATCCACTTGGGATCCGCAAGCCCCTGTCTCACAGTTCCCTGAACCACATTATTGTCTTTACTACCTAGCCCTCCATAAAGCCCTATATGGAGCATGTCTAGATTTCCTTAGGTTATGAATTTCCCATCTCACTTGGGTTCTTTTTCAATTTAAATGGGTTTATTTTTTACTATCAATATATATAGTCTGAGACTAAGCGTTAGTTTAGGGATTCGCATGCATCGTTCGGCATCTGTTTTAATCCGGAATCACATATTGTGGTTTGAGATAAAATGCTTTAACTTTCACAAAGCACCTGTGAGTCTTTACGATACTACAAATAATACATTAATTATACATGCATAAAGGATGTTAATATGATTAATAAATGGGTTTTAACATAAATAATAGTAGTTTGTCACATGTTGAAACACCGATGGTTACCCATATGTATGTTACCTATATGTTTCACTGCAAGCGAGTTGATAGCCCATATTTAATAACTGAATTAGAAACGTATGGTCAAATTGCTATGACTACCTAATCATTTAGGAGTTAAACTTAATATGTTTGAAAATTAGATAAATGTAAAACCGAATTGATACTCTCTAAAAGGAAGCAAACATATGCTTTACACACCAGGATGGTTATCTGTAAATCTTGTACAAAGGATATTTATTGGGTTTTTTTAAAGTTGCTTGTTAACGGTTGGGCAATTGAGTTTGAATATTCTTGTAATAGAAGGTAATGTGATAGTGAGGTTCCTTAATAATTGTGAAGGAAAATTTTATATAATTGTATTTTTCGAGTTTTAATAAATGTTTTATTATTAACATTTCCATCAGTCATGTTGGTGGCCAAGCTGAAGTAGTACGACAGTGTTGTGTGCGTGCGCTGTGAAGCAGTCATAAAATCAGACGCATTTTCAATCCAAAGTGATAGTTCATTCATTTATTGATGTATTGATTGTCCATTCAAATTCCAGTATTTGACTTAGTCATGGTAGAGTAAAAGATCTCTTTGTACAATGCCCTGTCAATATATTGTCTTCAAAATATTACTTAAAATAATTTACTTTACAACTTAATGAAATGTATGTGACATTCATGGAAGTCGGAAGGGAGTTAAGTTGTAGACACAATGGCGGATCACCATTATCACTGACTTACATCTTTTTCCTTCGCAGAGCCAACCTATCAAAACACCGTCGTCAGGAACTAGTCGTTTTCATGACTATAGATACCGATATCATCACGAGACCTGGGCACATATCTGCATCAATCGTCAGGAACTAGGATACTGACATCCTCACGTGACCTGGCCACATATCTGCATCAACGATTAGAATTTACTATAATGTATGTTAGCATGTGCATGCCCATCTGCTATGTTTGCCATAGTTGGCCCGATGCCTATAAAACTAGCCCCATCACTGCAGTTTGGCTGTACCTACTTGGCTTCTCTCCCGTTAATCTCACATAGTCGCCATCTTATTGTTATCATTGATCATGAAATCTGACATTATATTGATTTCTTGTATGTACTTTTATATGGTGACTCCTACTCTAAATGATGACTCATTACTCTATATGATGATTCATTACTCTATATGGTGACTCATTACTCTATATGATGACTCATTACTCTATATGATGACTCATTACTCTATATGATGACTCTTTACTCACCTGACGATCGCCAAGAAGTAGTTAAAGACAATTTAACATGCTCATATCCCAAGTAAATGTCCAACAATGACCTTATACGTAGCAATTCTTCTTTGTTTTTATCATTTTCAAAAACACACAACGGTGACGACAGTTGTTAGATTTTTACTTAGCAATCACTAGACTTCGCTTTTTTTCCTTAGAGGGCAAACCTTTTATCATATGTAATATGCTTTGTATGTATGATATGTACCGTTTCCTAGGCAACGCAAATGGTAGTCTAGATCACCTATTTTCAGTACCACTGCGACAATTGGCTCACTTGTCACATTTCCATCCAGATTTCTATGTACTTAACTGAGAAAGTGTAATCTTAAATATAACCAATGTAGCATTTCGAAACCTTCTAAAAAGCATATTTGTCTCCTGAAAGACAAGAACTCTTTCGTTTAGTTGTCCGCAGTATTTTGTGAAAGTGTATCGCTCTGAAACATGATTCCACTTGATGTCTCACTGACAAAAAAACATTGACTTAACATAGGTCCAACACAGGTTGGTTGGTAAAGCAAACGTTCAACACAAGAAGCCATGTTCGATTTTCCATAATGGTTTGTCAGGATGTTGGTACACCTGGCAACCTCTCCTTCATTTCATATACTCATATTCTTCCACTTAAATGTCACACAGTACCCTCGGTCAACAGTAATACTTCACAACGTCATTTTAGTCACTTTCCACAGCAGTTTTCAATGTAATGAGGTACATAACAAAGTTACCATTCTACTCGTGTTTTACCCTTTGCTAACTGTTATCCATCTCCATGATATATGTGTATGACATCATGAAAAGGTGCAACCTCTTTAGTGATCCGATTGTTTAGTGAGATTGCATCGCTCTGAAATATGATGTAACTGATCTCTCTATTGACATGCCCCCGCCCCCAAAAAAGATATATATATATATATATATATATATATATATATATAAATAAATAAATATATATATATAAAAAATAAAAAATAAAATAACAAAAAATAAAAAAAAATATATGAACACGAGGTCTCATACAGGTTGAATGGATGTTAAACCATTTACCGTTATGATTTCGTACAGACATAACGGTCTGTCAGATGTCCCAGGAAGTGGCTGCACCTTTATTTATCAAATATACTTTTATTTCATTCCTCAAACATTATTATTGGATTAATAAAAAATAATTTCTTTTAACGTTTGTTTGTTTGTTAACGTTACAATATTTCAGCTACATGGAGGCGGTCAGTAAATAACCGAGTCTGTACCAGACAGTCCAGAGATTTAAATCCTGAGCATCGATTATGAACAATTGGAATATTATGACCTGTATCAGTCAAGTCAGCGAGCCGGACCTACCCAATCCCGTCAGTAAAGCATGTGTTGCTGAAGACCACCACCAACCCGCATCTGTCAATATATACGATGTCCTGTATCAGTCAAGTCAGCGAGCCGGACCTACCCAATCCCGTCTGTAAAGCATGGGTTGCTGAAGACCACCTCTAACCCGCATCTGTCAATATATACGATGTCCCACCCTCGTTTGACACATGCCATCAATACACAGGATGTCCTGTTTGTTTTCCACACATGGTGTCAATATATACGATGACCTGTATCAGTCAAGTCAGCGAGCCGGACCTACCCAATCCCGTCAGTAAAGCATGGGTTGCTGAAGACCACCTCTAACCCGCATCTGTCAATATATAAGATGTCCCACCCATCTTTGACACATGCCATCAATATACAGGATGTCCATCCAATATACGATGTACAGGATGTCCCTATTCGTTTTTCGACACATGGTGTCAATATATACGATGTACCACCCATCTTCCACATATACCGTCAATACATACGATGTCCTATACCATCTTATGCGATGCCACAGACCATATCCGTCAATATATCAATACATACGTGCCCTATCCATCTTCGACACATAGTGTCAATATATACGATGTCTTCCACCACCCATCTTCCACATATCTTCCACCGTGTCAATACATACGATGTCCTACCCCCATCTTCCACATAAACCGTCAATACATACGATGCCCTATCCATCTTCGACACATAGTGTCAATATATACGATGTACCACCCATCTTCCACAAAATGAATCCACATAGTCCGTCAATATATATACTATGTGCCCACATATCTTCCACATAAATCTTCCCATCAATACATACGATGCCCATCCCATCTTTGATATAGTGTCAATATATACGATGTATCTTTGACCCATCTTCCATCTTCCACGTAAACCGTCAATACATACGATGCCCTATCCCATCTTCGACACATAGTGTCAATATATACGATGTACCACCCATCTTCCACATAAACCGTCAATACATACGATGCCCTATCCCATCTTTGACACATAGTGTCAATATATACGATGTACCACCCATCTTCCATCAAACCGTCAATACATACGTGCCCTATCCCATCTTTGACACATAGTGTCAATATATACGATGTACCACCCATCTTCCACATAAACCGTCAATACATACGATGTCCTATCCCATCTTATCCATCGTCACATAGTGTCAATATATACGATGTCCCACCCATCTTCCACACCGTCCTGCACATTCTCCCCATTTTACAGATTATCTTGTTAATGATGTCCCACTTTCTTCACGCGGGCACATTCTCCTATTTACAGATTATCAACAAGCAGATAGAACACAACAAGAAAATGTGTGTTTTGGGGAACGAATTACAGTCCATGACAAAGACTATTTAGAAACATCAGTGATGGACAAATGAAAAACACCTGAAACGAACTAGGACGAAATATTATTATGCTGAAAAGAAATTCCTCGATATTCGTAATAAGATAATTAATTACAGTTAATTACTGTACTGGGTTAACAAAAGGAGTAGTATTTTGCTATCTTCGTTTTTTCGTACCTAACGAATTAAAAACGTTCGTCTTTTAAATAGAAGCGACAAAACCCTTTACACATTCATAAGAAATCTCTGCCAAGGGCAGAGTCGGTTGTACAATTGTAACTTTATCAGCAGCAGATAATTGTTTCAGCAGTATTGCAGGTGTATGATGTTGTTTCTAAACAAAAATCGGATCTGCACCAGACAAGCCAGTGATTGTCACCATGCGATACGATGACAGAGCATGTGTTTATGAATCACTTTGAGGTAGCGATGATGCCAGGTGTTCGCTAAAAGGTGAGCTTATCCTGCTCCACCGGTGGCACCCGTCATAAACATATGCTACGTCTAGTCATTTGTTCACCTGAAATAATTCGGGAAGGTATAGTATAAGTCAAAATAGGGAATTGCATCGGACATCATTTTTGTCACTGATGCATCAAATTTGGAAACTTCCTCCACATTTCTATCATAAAACTTCTTGAAAGCTTTACTGACGCCTTGAATGTTGTAATCGTGATCACACAACTTCTAAGCCAGAGCGGCATGACGCTCTTTGAAATCCTGATAAAAAGATCACGCTTGATTGTATCTTAAAAGTTGTGAATTGTGAACTAATTCTTATGTGCGCTTTATCATTTCTGATTTGAAATAGCTTAACGGTAAGAATGTTGGATTATGTTCATTCAGTATGGCTTCATGGGGATGTTTCTAATCGTAGATCGATGCTCATGATGTTGATCACTGGATTGTCTGGCCCAGAGTCGCTTATTTACAGACCGCCGCCATATAGCTGGAATATTGCTGAGTGCGGCCTCAAATAACAAACAAACAAACCAAACTTATATCTAAATATACGTCAGTTCTGTATGCTGATGTCAACAGGAAAAGATCAGCTTCTTCACGACTTGGTTACGTCAACACAAACAATGGAAACGTAAAATCGCATGTACCATTCACCCATTAGTATAATTTTACTTTTCCTATGGGCCTTCCGTATACAGTTCAGAAATATTCACATGCTACACTATCAGTGTGATAAAAGGCTGTATAAATCCTACTGAAACCTAAGGAACAACAACGAGGAACTCGGAGAAACACTGCAGGTACTCACAAATGACTTTAAAATATACTCATGCCAATAATGGTTGCCACCCCCCTCCTCACCCCACCCCCCCACACACCTCACACACCCACCCCACACCCCCTCTCCAATTAAAAAAATTGAAGGGGGTGACAACCATTATTGGCATGAGTATTTTTCTCAAACTATGCCTTCGCGTAGCCGTCCTGCCATACCCCTGGTGGAAGCTGAAAATGATTGATATAGGTGTAGGAGGGTAGCTTGATCTCCTCCCACTTTGAATTAGACACGACTTTCAATAAATCAAGTGCCTTCAGCCATTTAGTTTTTAGGGATTTAATATGCAGAAGAAAAGTTAATGGGAGTCGAAAATCAGACCTAAGAACTTGGCCTCCTTGACAACTTTGATGGGTATGCCGTTTAAAAACAGTTGTGGGCCTTAATGTAGTTTATATTTACGGCAGAAATGTATGCAATTAGTTTTTATTTCGAAAATTTAAAGCCGTTTTCAAGACACCATTTATTGATGTTATTTAAACACAACTGCAATTGCCGTTCAATAGTATGCATATTCTTACGGCGACAAGAAATATTAAAATCATCCACAAAAAGTGATCCATCGATCAAATCATTTAAAACCTTGGATAAACTGTTGATATTAATACTAAATAATGTTACAGACAAAAACTGCCTTGTGGGACACCCTGATCCTGATTATTAATGGTCAGACAGGGTAGAACTCACTCGGATTTGAAATTGCCTGTCGGTTAAAAAATGTGAAATAAAAAGAGGTAAACGACCCCTCAAACCAAAATCATGTAAATCCTTCAAAATGCCATGCTTCCAGGTTGTATCGTATGCTTTCTCGAGATCAAAGAATATCGATACGGCATGTTGTTTATTTACTATTGCATTTTGTACGAAGGATTCTAGTCGTACCAAATGATCATTGGTACTACGACTTCTCCTGAAACCACATTGAATATTGGTTATAAGGTTATTGGTTTCAAGATACCATGTTAATCTATTGTTTACCATTCGTTCCATAGTTTTACAGACACAACTTGTTAAAGAGATTGGTCTGTAATTAGACGGATCAGTATCATCTCGGCCAGGTTTTGGAATAGGGACTACAATGGCATTGAGCCACGAAGTTGGGAAATTCCCTGAAGTCCATATTTGATCAAAAATTTCTAAAAGGATTTCTAAACATGATTCGAGCATTAGTGTCCTACTTTAGGCCCGGTCCATTTATTCTTCTGTTGCACCTAGCAAAAAATGATTAAGAAAAACCGCGTTACCATTCTTTAGCTACTTTTAAGATCCTACTTATTCATGGAAATCTCTGTTTTAGTGCGAGGTTCCTTTAGATAAGTGTCCATATGTATCGTTTAATGTGATTATTGGCTTATTCCTACATCCTAAATTATAACCTTATATCCTCGGGAATCGGTATAGTTTGCCTAGGCAATACATCTGGCCTGTTCGTCAAGAAGATTAAAAAAACCCAAATATTTGTGTTACATATATGTAACCAGTGACTAAGTCGAAGAAATATGCTTATGAAAATTATTTCAGTTATCGTGGAAGGCACCAGTGTGGAGACAACTGGAAAGTACATTACTGTTGGCAGCTCAGGGCCTCAATCAGTCAACTTTTTGTTGTTCTGGGTCGGTTTTTGACAAACTCATTTCTTGACCTCCTTTGTTTGTATTATGAGAACCACGGCTTCCTGATGCGATTTTACTTTCCAATGTTTTTCAGCCTTTTCATTTGGTAAATGCATGCAATAACAATAAGTGCAAGAACACAAATGAATACTGGTAGTCCTACTATAGCAAGTCCCAGGGTGAGGTCTGTTGGCGATGATTCAGTAGTAGAAGTGGTACTTTTGGGTGTTGTCGACCCCTCAGATGGCGATGGCGATGGCGATGGCGATGGCGATGGCGATGGTGAGCTTGTTTGCATGCTGCTGTTAGAATTGTTGGTACTTGTTTCTTAAATAGAAAAATGGAAATACGAAAGCACTACTCTGTAACAAGTTCTCAACTAAACGACATCAGTTACACTCGAAAGTAATTTGACGCATTTTCAACAAAGGTGATTGAGAAGTATGCTAAAAGAATGCGTTGTACTTTTTGTATGAAACACAGCCAACAGAAATAAAAAACTGGGATTAATTCAAAGGTTTTCCTTAAGAAACAGCTTTCAAAAATGGTTTAAGTTTGAGTAGTTGAATAATTGTATGTTATTTTCCAGAGTGCACCATGCCATGCGATTTTGAAGATACGGTTTTGTTTCAAATGAAGTTTCCAAGATATGAGATATTTATAGAATAAATACTCCCTCACTGGGAAATATCAAGGTTCGGATTACTTATATCAAAGTATGCTTAATTACCAGCCAAAGTCAAAATACATTGATACATTTTAAAACTACATTGAATCTGACGATGAAGTTCTTTTCCCACGACGGACACATTGCTGTGTCCTCATTCTAACTTTAAGACACCCAGGGACGTGTGAAGGCATTAGCTGTCGACATGGAAGATTTAACTTCTGAAAACATGCTTATTGTTATATCTCTGTACAAAGTAAATATTCAGGTTACCTAGAACAGATAGATCAGGATGTTAAGGTATCAGCTAAAGTTGTGTTGGAGGACAGTAAGTACCTACCTGTCGACCCAGGTGTTGTAGTTGTTGTAGCAGCTACAGAGGGAACATTGTATCCTTTTTAGGTTGAGAGAATATTTGTGGAAATCGGTTGTAATTACGAGAGGGTAGAAAGGTGAGTGAAAAGCATTTTAGGTCGATTTCAAAAGGGATTGAGATAAGACACCATTACAGCAATGTTCCTGGAACGTTAAAATAATATAATATCACTAGAATGGAGGCCAAATTCATCATCACGCCTTATATCGTCTTTCTGGTGGCACTTAGAGCCTTTATTGAAATCTCAGCATGTATTGTGCAGACATTGCTCTTGTCCACTGATTTGAATGTTGTCAAAGAAGATAATAATATCAGACTCGATATTTGTAACCGAGGCGTCCAATTTCGAAATTCGTTACACATTCTGAAATGTAATAATGTTGAATGTTGTCACATCAATCAACCTTTTTGGCACAAAGAATGGATTTAAATTTTGAAATCGTTTTAGAATTATGCTCGATGGTTCTTTAAATGATTTTCCCTGTATAAACATCTTACATTGATAGTATTACGATAGAGGACCGACCTGTGAGCTTGGAAACTCCACCGCAAGTAAGAGGTTTGCTGCTGCTATCACATCTGAATATGACACTGACGTCTCCAAAGCGGTCAGATGTGACGTTGAAGGAGTGGTGCTGGACAGTGTCTGTGATGTTGTTCGTTGTCTGGTTTTGTAACAAGACGTCTGTGACGCTGCCAGTTGTGAGATCAAACCCAGCTTGTTGAGAACAGTAGTACCCTCTGAGGTCCATTGTCAGGGTGAGGTTTGTACCAAGTTCTAGAGCGTTGGTGCCTGTGTCACTGCTTATGTTGCACTGTGGTGGACCTGATGCAGTAGATGAATAATATCAATTGTAATGAAAAGGAAAGTTTCAAATGGATGAATGACTGAATGAATGAATGAATGAGAAATAAACATGGCATCTGAAGAAAAAATATTATTCATCAGAAAGGATTACTGTACATTAATACCAAGAATATAAATAGAGAAAATAAATGATTCAAGCACTATGTTTTAAATACGAATAACTAGTGATGACCAACCAGAAATGCAAACTCACTTTTTAACAACCTTTGAACTCCACGACAGCTCAGATTATAACTAGTGTCGTCACACATAAACCTCACTCTGACGTCGCCAAGACTTGAAAGGTTTATACTGACGGTTTGGTTAATAACGTCGGAAGTGATGTGACTGACGTTGTGGTTCACCTTCAGCGTCTCCAAGACAGCACCAGTAATAAGACTCAAGCCAGTTAGTTCGGAACAATAGTAGTCGGTCACATTCACTGTGAGTAGCAGGGTCGTGTCAAGGTCAAGAGCGTCAGTGGCTCCATCGCTGCTAACGGTACATTCGGGAGTTTCTGTTGATGGAAAATATGCTCAACGTTATCATACTCCAAACTGACATTATGAATTTGGTCAGGAGCAGATTGACATATAGCCAATTTATTCGTTAACTGTCAAACATTCACATGCACATATTACATCTGCAACATATGAACCGCACCTTCAATCGTAACCCATGTTTACATTTCGAGAAGTATTTGTCCTCGACATTTACCTATGGTACGGCTACATGCATATTTTCGGACGTCGTTAACAATATATATTCAACGTGCGGTTGCATACCATGTTCTTCGTTATATGTTCAGACAAAGTCATCTACCAGACAAAAGACGTGGAACGTTAAGCTGGTGCATGTGGGTAACTTTACTATTCACCCTTAGGGTATTCACGATACGAGCACTTACAGAATGACGGCATTTTATAAGTTGTACGCTTCTCTCGAGGGTAATACGGTCTGATGTACGCCTCTTTGTAGCATTGACACCCGAGCCGGTAGGCGAGGGATGACATTGCTACAAAGAGGCGTACATCAGTACCGTATTACCGAGGGAGAAGCATACAACGTATTTATCTTACCGACATGTGTTAAATGTACAAGATATCGTTTTATTTAGTTAAAGATCGCTACCGACTATATGACATAAAACTGCTACAAAAATTGTTAATAATGTTTAAGTTGAGTGTGCAAACCACTCAATGTACAAAAAAAATTAAACAAAGCAGTGAAAGTCGGTAAAAAAAATCTGTACAAAGTGAACATATTAACAGCTGATCGAACGGTTTTCGAACTCCGGGCACGGCATTCGTCATATTATTACGTCATACGATTGTTAGCGCTTCAGCTTTTCGGCGGAGAGCTTGGCGGTTACCGTGGTAGTGGGTAATATTTTTCCAGTTGTCACCCTTTTTAAAGCGTCATTGACCAATGAAAGTAAAGTATTTTACATGAAGGTAAGATAAAAGGCAATATTTCCACGTTTGTCCATGAACAGTCAAGTCACTTCCACTGCAAATGTGTGCCTTAAGTCTACTCTGGGGCATCCTTTGGACTTAAGATTAAATTTGGTTTTAGACTTTAGATGTTGTCACAGATTGAGCTTCGTGATCCCCGATTGAAGACACGCGTTTGTCTGAAGTTTAAATTTTAAGAATTAAGATGCCTTATGAACTTTAGACAGCTTCATGATCCCGAGGCTAATCCAAGATCACTTTATTTTTAACACCGCAACTTGCACTATTCCAACTGTCTATATAACGTTCAATGACTAGACAGCCATATTATTACGTGAACATCGATCAAGTCAGTTGGGATACTAACAAGTAAGGAGAATCACAAAGTCCGACCTCCGAGCCTATTTATCCGATCATAGGTTGCATGGAACCTGTTCTTTTATCAAAAAAGGTTTATGGCTAGATCAAGTAAATGTAACGTGTTCATGGCCAGATCTATTGATCTATACTATTTCGAAGTGCATTGTGTAAGTACTCACTTGCTACCGTCAGCTTACACACGTCCACAAAAACACCCGGGTCCTTTGCGTCCACTATGCTCCAAGTCCCTGCATCTATCTTCTCAACACTTTCGATGGTGAGTGCAGAAGGTGTATCGTTGGTTGCTTTATATCCTTCCACAGGGCTGCAGCTGGGGTTGCAGATGACGACATTACGGTCATCACTTGGTCGAACCCATACAAATCCTGTATAGTTGCTTCTGTCACCTACAATAGTGTAGCTCGTTCCAAATAGACCAACACCACCCGGACATGTGGAATCTATTTGAGCAGCACCTGGAACATGAGTTGGTGTAGAGATTGCTCGTGAATGAAACATAATATTCCGTTGTAGGTGTTAATGATGTAACAGAGCCATCTACTGTAGATGATTGTAGGAATATAATGTTTGGCTGAAAATTTGTCGTCGAAATAAAGTTACCTGCTTTAGAAAAATATGTACCATAAGTTTATTCCTAAAAAGTTCGAAAAGAGTCCTGAATAAATCTTACTTCCAAAATTCTGGAATTAAGCTGGAGTTCCTTGAATTCATTTTCGAGTGTCTGGGACACAAACTATAAATTTAGGTGTAAGGAGGAATGTTCATTGCAGTCTTTTGAAACCAGGGACATTTTCCTACTATTTACTAGGTGATTCTTACATTTACCTAGAAGATACATTCCTTCCACGTTATCCCACACCTGCGTAGATGATAGTTTGTTTCACATAGTTGATACTTTACTTCCACGATAATGATACTTTACATCAACGCAGAAGATACTTCACGTCTATGAAGATGATACTTTACTTCACCTAACAGGTGCTTTACTTCTACGTAGACGATGCGTTACCTATAAGTAGATGATACTTCAACTAAAGGCAAATGATACTTATATCAAATAATTAAATTTTAAAATCTTGATAAGCCCTACCTCCTAATGCCACAAGATGTTTAAGTGTATAGTGTCGACTTAGCAAAGCAAAATATCGATTTTATTGTTATGGCGTCCGACATTGCTGGCCTGGAAATTTTAATTGCAAGGAGGCATTATCGCAATATAAAATATTGGGTTTTGATGACATGAAGCACGTGGCGAGTGGATGAAAGCATGTGTAAGTACTGAAGCAATTCTACATATCCTAACGTTATCTGTGGATATAGGTGTCCCTGCCGTTGTAGATGTGGAAACTGCACTTGTTGTCATTGAAATATCTGAATGGAATCAACGAAAAGCATGTACTAAAAAATGATAATAAGTTAACGTTTGCCAATCTTTTGTTCATTTTGTAATGCATTAGAATTTATAAAACACTTCCGGCGGTGTCGCCAATATCATTTAGTTGACTAACTATCCCCTTCATGGCTACCTTACACAAAATGACCTCATCACCACGAGAATGAACTGGGATCTTCAATCAGAAACACAGTAATTTGGCTTCTTGATGTATACAATGTATATAATTAAATTTACACATATTCGAGCAGATCACATTAAGTCACAAAGCAGACTTTGTTGCCACATTACTTCTCTACTGCTAAACATTGCGATAAAGGTTACTGGAGACCGAACTATTGACTGTGCCAATACCTAATTTATACCGAATATATTGTAAGCAAACTATACAAAAACACAACTACCAACGAAACATGCAAAAAGAATGAAAGCGCAACATTGGAACTAGCACAAAACTCATTACCATTTAGACATAATTTTCTGAGAACTGGCGAAGAACCTGTTGGTAAATTAATTATTCTTTTTTTGCGAAAGAATTGAAAACAATGAAGAACTGCAATTTTAAAACATGTAAGATATGAAGAAAAATCATCTACTTACTTCTGCAACTTAGAAAACATAAAACAAGTATACTCGATAGAATACCATCTAATGGAGAAGAAATTATGCAATCAGAACAAATGGCAGTTGATGAAATACCAAATGCACATAAGCAATGCATCATAACACATTGGTAAGTGGCTATAGAATACATCTCTCAGTAAAAGCAGAATACATTGTATATCTTCGACTATATCATAAGCACATTTTATGGATAAATGTCTAATATTGATGATACTGGATGTTCCGTCACAAACACATGCGAAGGAAAGTCAATTGTTCACCTGAACCACAACTCGGGAACATGGGGAATTCCTCATCGTTGTTGTGACGTGTGTTTATAGTGACCATGACTGTATTTGAAACCGACTGATATGTGACTGTACTATGACTGCTCACAAGTTGACTGCAGGATGGAATATTTATCGATCGAAGTGAAAATTGACCATTTGGAAAATTGAATTTGGAACCATTAAAAATGACAACAGACCGGGTATTGATTCAAATTCTGTCGGAATGACAATTCGTTAACCACACGGAGTAATAATAGGCATCTTGTTATTCCTATCCTTAGACCAGAGAAGAACAGACGGATGGTATTTCGTTACAGAAAGAAATAAATAAGCATAGCTAACTGTTAATGTCACAGTACATTTAACAATATCCGCTTTGTAAGCGTATGGAATCATACACTCAGATAGAATTACTTGGCTGTGCAATATAACGCCCTGCGATCACTTGCAATGTATCTGTTTCAATAAGAGTAATATTTTGATATATCAGTTCTCATAATCAAATATATCTATTGAACGAAATCAATGTGAAAGCTGATAAGATTCACAAAGAAAGCTGTAAACCGTTGTGATAACTGAAGTTATGAATATTGAATCTGGCGTCTTCTCATAATGTAGCATGAACATTAAAATACTTACCACTGATAAAAAACCCAGCCAGACCCAGCAAAAGAAGTAGGTGATTTTGATTGAGCATTGTTTTCAACTGAAAACGAAAATAAATAGTGAGATTAGTATATTCTCTTCCCACGTTAGCGACATAGTTATAATATGGGAACTCTTGACATGGGCAAACATTCACGCATCATATCAAATATCATGCAGTACGTCTAAACGTGAAAATCTTATCTTGTTCCCATTATTTAATCGGTTTCATAATCAAAACAAGTTTCATCGCAGAACACTTTGACGTAATACTATCATTGTGAAGTTGATGCATAACTCTTCGTGCTCAGGACTCTCCAGAATCGTACATGAGTTTGTCTTTAGACTGTGGGAACAAGTTCAAGTCTGAGATGGCCAAGAATGTAATCTGGCATGATTTCTGATGTAACTTGCCGTCGGTATTGGACAACTGTTTTGTTTTGACCATATTCAAGAGTATACCACATTATGCCAAATGAAAATGTTTCATTCACAATGGTGGAATGGTTGCATACCAAACGTTTGCACAACTCTAGACATTCCATCACGAGTCGAACTTGAACCTTATGAGACAGGGTAGTGAGATGGCCATGGTTTAATGCGTTGGCTCGTCACACTAACGATGCAGATTCGATTATCATATGTGTACAAAACACGATTCCCATATCTCGTTGTAGCTGCAGTGATATTGCTTGAATACTTCTAAATGCGGCATCATATGATACATAGTTACTTTTAGATTCAAATATGTGACAAACACAGGAGAATTATCCTTGTTTTCCAGGGAGAAAAACCAAACACTTTTCAATGAACATAGCGGATGAAATTTCAGAAGGTATGTCTGACGACACACATATATCGATCTGGTCGTGTCACTTTAAGAAATATCTTAATATCTAATTTACGTAAACAACGTTCGATATAAACAATGAAAAGAACATTATGCTCCAGAATATTTAAATATAACAACAATAACATTCATGCATCTATCCCCTGCTCCATTTTTCAACATCCTAATACATGTGAGTAATATCGACACATGCACATCGAACCCTAAGATACTCTCTTATATAGCTCACTCCTGTGCCAATAATATCATATTTCCTCTTCTATATTTTGTTAATTTACTTATTGTCTTAAGAACTATATATGCACATATGTATCGCTCTGTAATACTGAAATGTAGCCTGGGTCTATGGCCTCCACTACAAAGAAAATAAGATTGATATATATTTTCTTACCAGCATGAAGTGAATTGGCAGAAACTTAGTCTCACGGGTATGATCAGTTATATGAACCAGCCTCAGTAAGGTGTAGAGTGTGTTGCTTGCGATAAGAGACAATATGCAATAACATGACTAATATCTCAAATCCAGGTGATAACATGTCTGCCATCTTGAATCCATTTGTACGGGAAAGAGATGAAACAAATAAAATATGTTTGTATTTGTAAATGTCCTTTAGGAGCTTGAGGTACATCTGAGCCCAGGTAACTTGAATTCCACCAGTGTCGCTTTAGATCTGTCGCCCAATGAATAAACGTTACACCTTCCGACTTGAAATTAGTGAAGTGGCTGTTCTGGACAGAAAAGAGCATACCATGCACCTGGGACGCAAAAGAATCTTTTCTCTAATGAAATCACTTTGTTGTGGAGTGTTTTCTTCCCCTAGGCTGTCATATGCATTCCCAACTGAACTTTTCCTCGAGAATCGAACTGAATTTAGGGCACAGTTTACTTGTTTGGTTACTGACAAAAATAGCTCCGGCCAAACAGTATTATCGGATCAAATCTAGTATTCTGATCAGAGCTACGCCGGTATTTCGTGCGTGGGTTATAATTTAGTCCACGAGGGTTTTTGGGCGGTTGTGCAGCTGTCTAAATCCACACTTCATGTGGACTCCTAGTTAGTCGCTGACATTGTAACGTTGACATGTTATCGATTGTATGGCATTACCCACTGGAATGTCATGCTGTGACCTAACAGAGATGTCTAATACATATCAAAGCGGGTAATGTGTTTATCACCCCACTAGCGAGAGTTAGTCAAGTAACAGGTGTGTCTTTTAAAACTCATGGTTTCATGCGACAACGCCAGCGAACACGTTAAAGACCAACATGTTCAATTGTCCAATCCATTAAATTTGACCAACATGAGTGAGTGAGTGAATGAGTGTGGTTTAACGCCGCTTTAGCAATATTCCAGCAACATCACGGCGGGAGACACCAGAAATGGGCTTCACACACTGTACCCATGTGGGGAATCGAACCCGGGTCTTCGGCGTGACGAGCCAACGCTTTTAATCACTAAGCTACCCCACCGCCCCTCCAACAACATGAATACATAATGCCATGTATAAAGTGTTAAAATGTAACATATGTTATATTTGGGACTACACTTTATCCGTTAAGTTCAGGTTTTGGTACTTTTGTTAGTTTCAGTCCCATCTGGGATATTATTCCCATCAACCTCAGAGTCAGGCACCTAACAGCCTACACACAAAGTGGGCGATCTAACCCACTCAGCCATCGCAGTTTCCTGGGAAGCTATCCAGGTCTGAATACAAGGACCTTTACTTGTCTGAGAAAGAGTTATCAAAAATATAACAAAGTTCTGTATCATTTTAAAAGCACATGGCTACTTACTCGTACACTCGGTATAACTTTAATCGTGCGCATTTAACAAAACGCCGTTTTTATAATCACAATACACATTCCATGTCGAAGCTAGAACATTTCAACACACAACGCTCCCATACATGTTTGCTAACAGTGGGATAGTTTGGGGATTATCGTTGATTTACAGGCTGACATCAGCTTTTTTATCACGAGCTTTAAGCTCTTTTTCTTTGCGGACACTCGCCGTGGTTAGACAGCAACCGTGTCACTGTGGTCGTAATAAAACACACCAATGTCATACTGCACACGATGTCATACAGCACAGTATGTCATATAGCACAGTGTGTCATACATCACACGATGTCATAAAGCACACGTGGTCATACAGCACACGATGTCATACAGCACATGATGTCATCCAGCACACAATGTCATACAACACGTGATGTCATACAGCACAAGATGTCATAAAGCACACAATGTCATACAGCACACGATGTCATACAGCACAGGATGTCATAAAGCACACCATGTCATATAGCACACGGTGTCATACAGCACACGATGTCATACAGCACACGGTGTCATATAGCACACCATGTCACATAGCACACGATATCATACAGCACACGATGGCATACCGCACACGATGGCATATAGCACACGGTGTCATACAGCACACGGTGTCATATCATAAAGCACACCATGTCATGCAGCACATGGCGTCATATCACAAAGCACAAGATGCCATACAGTACACCATGTCATACAGCACATGGTGTCAAATCATAAAGCACACGATGTCATGCAGCACACCATTTCATACAGCACATGGTGTCAAATCATAAAACACACGATGCCATACAACACACCACGTCATACAGTACACGATGCCATACAGGATATGTCATGCACCACACAACATAATACATACAATCTGTCATACAGCACATGATGTCATACAGAACATAGTGTGATACAGCACATACTATCGTAATGCAAATAATGTCATACGGCACATGGTGTCATACAACACATAATGTCATACACCACATGATGTCATACAGCACATAATGTAATACGGCATATAATGTCATACGGCACAAAATGTCACACGGCACATGATGTCACACATCACATGATGTCACACATCACATGATGTCATACGGCACATGATATCATACAACACTTAATGTCATACGACATGATGTCATACATCACATAATGTCATATAATACATGATGTCATACATCACATAATGTCATACGGCACATAATGTCATACGGCACATGATGTCACACAGCACATGAAGTCAGACGGTACATTATGTCATACGACACTTAATGTCATACGACATGATGTCATACAACACATTATGTCATACCGCACATAATGTTATACGGCACATGATGTCCAACATCACACGATGCAATACAGTGCATGGTGTCATATCATACAGCACACGATGTCATATAGCTCCCGATATCATACAACACACGATGACACTGAGCACACCATGTCACACAGCACACGGTGGTGTGCAGCACACCATGTCGCACGGCGCACGATGCCATACTGTACACAATGTCATGCAGCACACGATGTCACACAACATACGGTGTCATACAGCACATGATGTCATACAACATACGATGCCTTACAGGGCATGGTGCCATATACAACAGACGATGCTATACGGCACACGATGTCATACAGCACACGATGTCATACAACCCACGATGTCATACCATACATCACACAATGCCATACAACACACGATCTCATACAGCAAATGTCAAACAGCATACGATGTCATATAGCACACGATGTCATGTGCCGTCTTGTAATTCACAGTCCTGTTTTGCGTGTGGCGGGTGACAGCTTCGCGCATATGGAGTGAGAGGACGTGTCCGTAGCCAGATTTGTTCACACATATTCAAACTTGGAGGTGTAGATGGATTTGACACAGGCTCCAGCAACATTTTGACAATGATCATTTGTAGATGCAGGTGTAGGTGTAGGGGTTGGGGTAGATGCAGGTGTAGGGAAGGGGTTGGGGTAGATGCAGGTGTAGGGGTAGGGGTTGGGGTAGATGCAGGTGTAGGGCTAGGGGGTTGGGGTAGATGCAGGTGTTTTGGTAGGGTTGGGGTAGATGCAGGTGTAGGTGTAGGGGTTGGGGTAGATGCAGGTGTATGGGTAGGGGTTGGGGTAGATGCAGGTGTAGGGGAAGGGTTGGGGCAGATGCAGGTGTAGGGGGTAGGGTAGATGCAGGTGTATGGGTAGGGGTTGGGGTAGATGCAGGTGTAGGGGTAGGGGTTTGGGTAGATGCAGGTGTAGGGGTAGGGGTTTGGGTAGATGCAGGTGTAGGGGGTAGGTAAAGGGGTTGGGGTTGGGATAGGTGTAGGGGTTGGGGTTGGATAGGAGTAGGGGTTGGGGTTGTGATAGGGGTAGGGGTTGGGGCTGAGATGGGGTACGGGTTAGGGTTGTGATAGGGGTTGGGGTTGAGATTGTGATAGGGTTAGGGTTGTGATAGGGGTAGTGGTTGGAGTTGTGATATGGATAAGGGTAGGGGTTGGGGTTGTGATAGGGGTTGGGCTAGAGACCTGGGTGGGGTAGGGGTAAGTTGTAGTGGTAATGGTGGAGGTACGTGTAATGATAGATGTAGTTATTGGTATAGGCATCTGATGGTGACCTCACACAACAGTAACATGACAACGAATGCAGAAATATACAAAAGATGATAGTTGCAGCCATATTAGATTTGAAAGGACGGTGCAGCAGAACGGCGGTACTCAATCAATGTGTACCCCCCACCCAGTTAGGATTTATTGTGTTCCGTTTGGGGCAACGTAAGTTGGTGTGCACAGAGACAGATATCGAAATACATGGGCAGACTGCCAGATATGATCATACCGTTACAGGCGATCAGACACAGACAGATAGACAAAGAGATAAAAACAAACAAAGGCAAACATGCCGACACGCACACACACTCACTCACAGACATGGGGGTCAGACGGATATTGCCAGCCTGTAGACGGAGACTAGCAGTATCACAGTGCCTTAACACAAGTGGTATAATTTAACCATCAGAAATATACTGATCTTTCAAAAAAGAAACTTCACAAAATGTAATTTGAAAAATAATGAATAATTTTTCTCTGATGGGATCCCTATCTTTCGACTCTAGAACAACGTTAGCAAAACCCACTCAAACCCATCCATTCGTCGTGCAAATGACGTGAGTGGCAAATCAGGTTTTGCACGGGCAGTCGATCACATGATCTTCGCATCGAAGTTTTCTTCATATGCACGTGTTTGCATTAGCCTCAAGAATTGGTAAAACACTTTTAAACCACAGTTCTAACGGTACTGGAAAGGCCACGATTGTCAAATGTGCAACGTGAACGTGCCGTTGGCATGCTGCAAGCGGGAAGATCAGTTATTGACGTCGCAAGAGCAATGGGATGCAGCCGTCGTACTGTGTATGACTTGCGAGGTCGTCTACAACAAACTGGCACCACTTCTGATCGCCCAAGGTCGGGTCGTCCACGTGTGACGTCACGAACAGAAGACCGTCAAATCGTCCTACGTCACCTACGTGACACGTTTCTGCCGGCTACACGAACCAGGGCTGAGATGTTAAGAGGTCGACTGTCCTCACAGACCATTCGAAATCGGTTGCGGACTGCCAATCTCCCTTCTCGACGTCCATATCGTGGGCCAATATTGACGCCGTTTCATCAACGTCAACGTCTGCAGTGGGCCCAACGTCACCTCCGATGGACCCAGAGAGATTGGAATCGAGTCGTCTTTAGCGATGAATCCAGGTTTACCCTCAGTTACGCGGACGGTAGGCATAGAGTCTGGAGACGACGTCGTGAACGGTATGCCCAATGTTGTGTACAGGAAGTCGACAGATTCGGGGGCAGAAGTTGCATGGTGTGGG